ATTGAATTTGCATGCTAACATTTCCATAGGGAAAAGAGTTTGGCTGTTATTTGGGACATTAATATGCTTATGCAATAGTTCCCTTGACATGAATATTTCTCAAAAATTAAGATGTAAGAAGTTGGCATATTTTCATTGCCTTCTTAAAACTTTTTTTTACTTACTTATATTTTGTTGTTGCTTATCCTGACCCATGTAGGCAAATCTTCCACGCACTGGAGGTTTTCTGAGAAGTCCTTCGAAGTCGTGCCTGATGGTTTAAGTCACAGGAGGCAGTGTTTACAGCATAGAGAAGGTTTTCATGGGGACATCTGTTTCTCTGGGAAGCGGTAAGCTGTTTCCTTCACTAATAAAACCACAAAACTGACACCTCAATCAGTTTGATCTCTAATACTTAAAGACTTAAGGAAAATCTCTTCATTTCCTTTTTTGATTTTTTCCACAAGGGATATTCAAATAGGGGAAAACTAACAAATAAATAAACAAATGCTATTTCAATGAGGTGACTATTTCAACATACTTTTTGGCCATTAGAAACCAAATCAGGAAGGTCCAGAAAAGTCGGCCTTATGATTCTGTGATCACACAACAGCCTGGTGACAAGGACCGCGTGTTGTGACCGGACAAAGCCCAGTAAGCGCGGGAGGCAAGAGCCCTTGTCGGATACCCTGTCGCTTGGGCCACAATAGTCAATGGGAGAATCCAGCCAGTTCCTTTCCAAAATTTCTTCCTGAAATGTTTATTGAAGGAGAAAGGGGAATAAAACATTTACAAAGATACAGAACATGAAGCTGGGAAAAGCATGGTTTGAGGTCTCGAAACCTGTGGTACCCAAGAATAGAACGCTCAGAGGAAAATGATGGAGGAGATGCAGTAGCATCATGAGCCTTGGTCTGAAGTGGCTAAGTTAGCCAAGACAATCCGAAGGCAGTCCAACCTGCGGAAGGCATCTGTCCATCTAATTTGTTGTAATTTCAAGAATTCCATACCATGTTTTCTCAAACCATAACTATATTTTGAATACAGCCAAGCAAATTAAAAATTTCTCATGGAAACATAATTTCAGAATGGAAGCAAGGAAGATTGGTATCTATTTACAAAACTCCCTACCGAACCTACATATTCATACATCAAAGCTATTGCATAGGTATTTTAACTGAACATTCTAAAATCATCGATATTGATAGGATGGTATCCGCTAGTTCAAGAAAATTCTCCTTTTGAATTTTAATGTCACAAACTTTTTTTGGTCAATGTTTTGTAAAAGAGTCTAACTAAACATTGCAAGTCCTGATAGTCTTAGTACTGAATGAAAATTGGGTCAAATTCTGCAATAGCCCATTTGACACCCAGAGTTCTTTGAAACTTGATTTGTTTGCAATTCCATCACATCTCTCAATGTGCACATTTGCCTTAAGATCTCTCCCTCTTATTTTCATTCCATTAATTTTTATTCACTCTTTCCCTCACCTCCACTGCAAATTGCAACTGAAAAATACTTTCCCCTCATTTCTGAATCTAAATCTCTCCTGTTTGCCATTCCCAAGGATTCACACACAATGGCTTTCTGTTTGCCATCTCATCCGATGCTGACAGGGGGCTCCTGACAGGTAGACCAGTGGCTCCTTTTAGAAGACTTTTCTAGCTTGTCTCAGCGCAGCAGTAATGACAGGTGACATCTTTCTTTTCTTGTCACCTAAGCCTAACACACTCATTTAAGTATAATCTGCCTGTTTCTAATAAACAGCGATCACTTTGTAAATGTTAAGATCTTGTAACAACAACCTGGTCTAACATTAAAATAGATTAAAATGATCTCACCTGGCTTGGACAGAGTTTACCTAAAGCAAGCTGTCAAAGCTGTATATGTAGCCTAATGGGCGAGGATCTCCATGTTATGTAAAAACAGGTTCTTAAATCCTTCTGACCTCATCCTAGAGCCTTTCTGTCCATGGTAGGTTTTCATTTGGGCTAGTTTACTCACCCCTATGATTGGCTGACTAGCAATCCCCACGCTGACCCCATGTACATTTTAATTCCAGGAACCCATGAATGCTCTGTTTGACCAAAGGAACTTGGTTTGTGTGATTAAGGATCTTGAGAAAGGGACATGACAGGCTGAGTACATTTCCAACACAATCAAACTGTCCTCAAGACAACAGAAGTAAGGCTTTGATGACGATGGAGAAGGGCTGCACCATGAGAGCTTTCCGTTTTCCTGACATGGAGTGCCCTGGCGGTGGCTGCCCCCCTAACCCTGGCCACAGCTTAGTTTCAGTTCTTTATCACTCATTTTCTGATCTGCACAACTGTACAATGGACTCATGCTGAGTGGTGAGCGTTTGTTACAGCATCTACTGCAAACTGGACTGCCAAGAGCCTTCCGTGCACCGAAACATTCTTCCTCTGCCATTTTTACTCTGAAGTATATAATTTGGGAAAAATCTTTTTCTATGATGTACCTGGGACCCAACAGTTTTTGCTATAACAGATCTGTTGATAATCAGTACTTCCTCAAGAGACAGCAAAGACAAGTGTTTCCATGTGGGCTTTTTTTTTTTTCCTCACCAAACTTTAGGACCACGCTATTTCATCAAGTAATCCCCACGCTCGAGAGGCAAATTCAATTAGAAATTGAAAACACAAGAATCTTGCAGAAATCAGCTGCCAGATTTATTTTTCTACCTGAAAATAAAAACATAAAAACACAGCCAAACAAAAAAAAAATGGGATAAAAATAAAAGTGAAACAAATGAAAACTTTTAGATACATTTTTCCAAGAATTTATAATGCACGATTTGAACCTTCTGTATTGGAAATACACTTAATGTTGGCCAATCACATAGTGAACTCAGTGAGTCGTTACATGAAACAGCAAAATACAGACTCTGTTGTTACAGAGTAAAGAATTACTACCACTTCTTCCTTTGATACCTTAAGATAACCCAGAGCTCAATTTCTTCTAACTAGAATATTCGAAAGAGGAAGAAAAAAGAAACAAAGCACAAGAGTGAAAAAAAAAAAGATTCCTCAAAATGATTTTCATTTAGAACACATTTTAAAGACTTGTTTAAACTTTCAATTTCACCAAATATCTCAATCATACATTTCAATTTCCTTTCCAATAAAACTTTCACTGAATATTTTAAAAATCTGTTTTTATTCTAAGTGCTGTAAATGGCCGCATGAGCATATGGGGAAGAATGTCCTGGTTTTTAAGGCATACTTCTTAGCACACAAAAGACCCAATGGCATATGATGTGCCGATAGCACGATCAGAAATTTCAAGTTATTTAAATACTTTGACATTAGACATCGTGTTTTGGTAGGGTTTAAGGTGAAGAACATCAATTTGGGCAGGTGAGCCTCCCAGCAGAGATGTGATCGGTGTAAGTGTTAAGGAGTGGGCTGCAGGAGTACCATTCAACAAGCCCTTTTGTAAGATCTTTTCTTTATCATTTGGCTATAGAAGATTGGAAAAAGTCATTTATTGAACAAAATTCACGTATGTTCCTTGCTTGAACATCCTAGTAAGCTCACTCAAGGGGATTGCAACACCACTTCTTTGTTTTATTCAGTGGATGGAGCAACATACCCTGCTTTCTGTATTTTTTTTTTCAGAAGTAAAACAATACGACAAAAGAGAAAACTTTGAACTTTTAAATCTTCTTTTGAACAACCTAAACCACATTTACAGGAGTTTCCAAAACAAGAAGATGGGGACTGTCACTGCCAGCACTATGTCACACAGCAACTTCCTCGGATGGCTGTCAGTACATTTCCTTTTCAGCCAAAGTTACAAGTTTCCACGGTTTCCCTAAGCAAGCTGAGGCTTACTCTTTATTGGTCAATGTGCATAAAAGCTGCTTAGAGCATAGCATGGCATAAGCTATTTTTTTTTAAGCAATAAATGGTTTGAGTCATCTATTTTGTCCTGAAATGCTATCTGTAGTTAACTGCATTGCTTATAAATGGTCATAGTAAATCCAGCAGGAAAGAGAATATTACAGAAAAGACAGCAGCAGAAGCAGTAGCGTTATCTAATATTTATACATGTTACCAACATAACACAGCAGTTAAAGGTTTAAATGCATATCAAGGGGTACCATGTCTAAAAATTACTATAGTACCTATTCAGTGTATTGGATATTTTGCTTAAAGAGTGCTTGCTGTAAGGAGAACAGCGTAATACGTGACTTAGTACAGTTAATTCTTACTGATTAAATAATGTGTTTATCTACTGAAGGAAGTGAGAGGAGATGGATCTTCTTGTTTGTTTCATTGTAATCCAGATTTTACATTGAAATGAAAATTCCAAAAGATCATGACATGTCATTGTTGAACTGAAATGGACGCTGAAGTCTAAACCACAGGTATGATTGGCATCTAAATGGCAAGGTGGCACTCGAGACACATAATGCTACTGGCCTGTGACTCAACTGCGAGCCAGAGTCCAAAATTGTGCCCCTTGTTCACGGTCCTGGAGATCACTCCATCTAGGAGAGGACGGCCTGCCTGATGGCTAGCCTACGCGAATCAGCCCCAACGCAGAGCACAACAAAACCAGCAAATGCGATTGCTCGGACGTTTGTACAAGAGGTGCAAAAACAGTCATTTCTAACAAATTGAACTGCCACTTGTTTTTCTCTGATTTTTTTTTTTGTACACCTGCTGAGACTTGGTAATGATGGAGGGAAAAATGCCCAAGCAAATAGTTTCCAAGTGGATTATTTACACAAGGTGGAATTAACTGTATCGTAGCTACCCGGAGGAAATGAACGTTATCTGAAGTTGTTAGGAAATCGGACATGATAGGGTTTCAGCATACTTAAAACTTGTAGGACCCCATCCCAAGCCGAAGTAGAAAGTAATCCCTGCACCCCTTCACCCGTTCACCCACTGTCTTTCTGCTACACAGAAGAAAGGTTAGAGTCCTCCCACCCACCCTCAAATAAAGTGCGCAGTCCATGGCAAACCACAGAATAATGCAACAGGAAAAGCCCCTTTTCATGTATTATTATTTAAAAATAAAATACAAACAACAAAAATAAAACAAAAGAGCATTCAGCAATTCTCCGCATCCCGCAGAGAGAGAGGAGCCACCCTGCTGAGTGTCCCTGGGGTCAGTACACGTAGCCTTCGTTGTAGGGGTGAGGATTGCAACAGCCCCCTTCTGGCATGTAAGCCATGCTCTCGTCGAAGTGGGACAGGGGCACCGTGTCCTCCTCGTTCACGTGGCGCTCCAGGTCTGTCTTGAGCAGCGGGCGCTGATTGTCTGGAAATGCCATGGAGAACAGGGCTTCCGGGTCACACACGAATTTGTAGACGTATCTCTCTCCGGCCACCTGAAGACCACACGTGGATGAGAAGAGCCCGCACCCACCGTTCCCCAGAGAGGAGAGGACAGGCAGGGAGAGAGAAAACACGGTGAGTGCAGTGGACACGATGGACAACAGCACACAGGTGAAGGGCATGGAGGAACAGCAAGACCGGAAGTCCTGCCCGCAGTCAAGGCAGACGCTGCAGATGGGCCACTGCTTATATGGTTACGGGCATAATTGGCCACTGGCATTATTGCTTGGGGAGAAAAGCTGCAATGTTTTAATGTAGGGAGTTCACATGGACTTTACTTACCTGTAAGGTTAATGGCTAGATGCTATGTTCAGAAAACATTTCTAAAAGACTAGAGAAACCCAACTTTGCAGCCTTTCACCAGAAGTGGGCTTGATTCCTAGTAAGACTTGAGTGATGCTTACAGGGTGAACTTTTTTCTTCCCTATGTATTTTTCTCTACCAACAGAATGCACAAACTTATGTCCATGAAAGATGCATCAAGGGGACAGTGCATCCTGGGTGCAGCACTTTTAAAATGAAAGCGAGATGCGTTTGAGAGAAGTTAAGGATGTGCGTAAAGTGTCAAATTGAAGCAAGAGGTGTGAAAAAGTGAAAGGAATTTAAAATGCACGATGCACGGGGAGGAAATGAGAAAAAGCGAGGTGACAACTGCCTGAGAGGTGGCATAATTCGAGGGCAGGACATGGCCTAAATGTACATTTTTTTTTTTTGAGAGTAATGCCCCCAGGCAGCCTAACAGGCGTGTGTGTCAGACAAGCAAGCACCTTGCTCACAGATGACCTTGGGGTCGCCAAGCCCAAGGAGTGGGGCAGAAACACAGCTCCTGGTGCCCGCGTCTGCGTCTTCATTTTAGATGGCTGAAAATGATTCAACATTTCTTTGAAGACCATCGCTAGCAGATTTTTTTTTTCTTTGTCAACTATCCACATTGAAAAAAGAGAAGGGTATCAGGGAGCTTTGGATTCAGGGCTCTCCTGTTTGGGAAGCTCAGTGGCAGACACCAGGAAGGAGACTCCAAATCATCACACTGGCCTTGGCTTTGAAAGCTGCAGTTTGGAAGGATCGCATCCTGTGCCAGAATGCCGAGGTTTTAGTCCAAGCTCTCTTTCCAGCCCAACTTCCTGCTGCAACTTGACCTTGCTGTATTTGAGTGCCCATTATTTACATGGAAGACTTTGGCTGAGCTCTGGGCTCAGGGTCCTACTGGGCTACGGTGGCCACTGAGGGGCGGGTGAAGCTGCGGTGGATGGGAGATCTCATTGTCTTCGTGTCTCTATCTCTCTTCTTTTCACATAAATGAAACAAAATAAAAAGTTAAAAATTGATTGAGTGGCTTGGCGCCGTGGCCTAGTGGCTAAAGTTCTCGCCTTGAATGCGCCGGAATCCCATAGGGGCGATGGTTCTAATCCCTGCTGCCCTACTTCCCATACAGCTCCCTGCTTCTGGCCTGGGAAAACAGTAAGAGGATGGCCCAAAGCCTTGGGACCCTGGCTCCAGGCTTCAGATTGGTGTAGCACTGGCTGTTGCGGTCACTTGGGGACAGAAGTTCTTCCTCTCTATCTCTCCTTCTCTTTGTATATAACTTTCCAATAAAAATAAATAAATCTTTTTTTAAAAAAAATAGTATTGACCTTGCCAAGATTTGCTTTTTAAAAAGAACTGATTAAGAAGAATCAGAAGAGATGAGGAAAAATGTGGAGGTAAAAGCCACTTCTGTCTACAATTCAAAGCCTTATTTGGCAGCATCTATCCCATGAATTTACTCCAATGAGAACACCCACACATGAGAACGTGACAATGGCGATCATGTTAACATGTCTGAACCCATTTGGGAACAGACAAGCCCATGCGTCATTCTGCGGGGAAGCCGAGCGAACCCTGCTCAGAGTCGAGGTGGAAGAACTCAGTGAATGAGACCTGGGAAAGGGCTCAGGACCACGAACCTCGAGCCCGGCATGCCCTGGCTTACTCGGGCTTTGGCACCTGAGATGCACTGCCAGCTACAACTTGCTGGAGACTTGCACTGTGCCAGATACAATGCAGAGTTTCCATCTGAGAATGCATGCTTCCATGTGATAACCAGCAATGTGAGTGAGGAGGCAGGTATATGGCCATGTTCTAGGAGTGGTCCCTCGAGCAGCAGGCTTTTCCCCCTGAATCACACCAGTGCTGCCTTTTCTTTCTGGGCGACATGGACCAGAGGGAGTATTCAGCAGCCTAGGACAGCCCGACGCCCGAGAAAGCATCTCCACGGGGTGGACGACTGAGATAATGACAAAATGGGACTTGGCTGCAAAAAGGGATGATGGGCCAAAGAAAGGCAGGGATTCAAAATGACCCCTTTGTTGACATGCAAGAGAGAAGGTGAGATGCTGAATTAGGGAGCAAGGGAGAATCTAAGTTAGCTCTCGGGGTGAGTGAGAGCTCTGCTTCCTGGGTTCTAGAAAGCTCAGTGTTTGCCATTTGCCTTGCAAGCGAAGGAGCCTGTCTAATTTTTCTTGCTGTCACTATGGTGAAACAAACATTCACCACAGTCTATAACATGTATTGACAATCGCCCAAGACAATACAGGACACACAACCAAACTGTAATGCTTCCGCTGGATAAACCCTAAACTTGTGGCTGGTACTTCGGCATGGAAGGCAGAGCCAGCATCTCACACTGGTGCTGGTACGAGACCCGGCTGCTTGACTTCCTAACCAGCTCCTTGTTAAGGCACCTAGGAAGGCAAAGGAAGATGGCCCATGTACTTGGGCTCCTGCACCCATGTGGGAGACCCAGAAGGAGCTCCTGCCTCCTGGCTTTCACACAGGCCCAGCTCCAGTAACTGCAGTCTTTTGGGGAGTGAATGGAAGACTTTTTGTTTCTCTCTCTCCCTTCCTCTCTCTCTTTCTTTGTACTTTGCCTTTCAAATAAAGGAAGGAATCTTCAAAAAATAAACAAATTCAGTTCATCATCAAGGTAATTCAATTTGAATATGCATGTGAGAATGCGGTACGATGTAGCAAGAATAGCAAAAACATTTCTCTTCATTTATTCCTCAACATCGTCAGAGAATTTCATATTATTAGGAGTGTAATTCACTTATTTTATCTTTTTCTGTAAGAGGTTACTTTCACATATTAAAGGAAACTCACTGAAAATAAAGCAAAAGACTGGTAGAACAAATATTAACTTTAAATGAAGCATTTAGGGTGTTAAATTGTCAGGTGATAAAACCAGGCAAGATATCCAGGCCAAGAAGAAAATATTATTAATGAGGACAAGAAATAAGGAAAAAAAAAGTAGGAATAAAGTTAATCTGAAGTGCTTGATTTTCATTGGATTCTCTAAACAAACTCATTTAAAGATTATGTATTCATGAAAAATGCAGCAACAGCTTCTGGAGAGAGACACGCAATATTGAATCTTCCTACATTTTGGTAAACATATGTAAAAACGTAGGAACTTCCAGAAAGCCTGTAACTTTGCATGAAATGGGATTGCGATACATTTCTAGGGAGCCTTCCGATACTAACACAAAAAGCCAAGCATCTGTTAAGGAGAATGAAATCCATGCTTCAGCAATAGGACAGGTGGCTTTTAAAGCGTGACGTGGAGACTCATGTGTAACACCTCAACGCACGGCAGCAACGCGGAACCCCTCACCTTCTGCATGATGCCCTTCTCGTAGTAGTAGCGGAGTGAACGGCTAAGTTTGTCGTAGTTCATCGCTGGCCTGTTTTTCTGAATGCCCCAACGCCGAGCCACCTGCCACCAAAACAGAATTACATTATTGTGTTTAATCATAACTTCCCCGTACATTTCATTAAAATCAGGTGCTTAACGAATGACTTTCCAACGCCCCGCCCCTGCCCGAAACGTATCCAAATCACAGACCCAAAAGGAAGGAGAGACATAATTGTGATCTGAACTGCCTGTGTCCTGGCTGCTTCTTAAACCAGGCGCACAGTGGTCAGTTGGAAACACAACAGAATTCTTTCTCGCCATTGTTTTGGATGCAAAATTAAATGGAAATTGGGGAATGTGTTCATAAGGGGAATGAACAGGCTGCTATTCACCAAAGTGAGGCAAGTTTTCCATTTGGAGCTACGGTGCCTGGTTTCTCCTTCTTGGTTCTGCAGACAAAAACTACACATTAACAGCACATGAATGACCTCTCCATAAAGGTGCTTTATTTGGGTTATGATAAACCAGTAATAGGTAGAAATTCTTGCTAAATGCTCTATGAAAGAAGGGACAAATGGCAGTGGGCATAGCTAAGGCAAAGAGTAAAGAAGATTAGTAAACTGAACTACAAGAAATTTTTTATCACCTGAAGCAATATCAGGATAAAATCATAACCAACGCTCAACTACAGAAGCGAGCTTTTGTTTGGAGAACAGTGATAATTGGATGCTAGAAACAAGAGGGAAGTGGAAACAGTCACGATACATACTACTCTGCAAACAAAAATCACTTCCGTGGCTTTCGGAGGGCAGTGTCTGTGCTGAGGCTGAGCTGCTAAGGGGAGCCTTGAGCCACTGCTGCTGCCCGCTCACACTGTGAGCCCCAGCATCACACAGCCGCAGCACGCAGGCGCAGCACGCAGGATCTCTCCCAGGCTGAACTCCTTTCCTTCTCCCTTCATGTCCAATCCTTACAAGCCAGAGCAGAGTCAGCAGTTTGCAGGCACACCTAGGCAAGTCCCAGGGAGCCCCAGCCAGCAGGGCCGACGTATGGCCTCCATCTCCAGAGAGCCCCATGTGGCCGCTGTGTCACCCTTGCCACAATACATCCCTCGGCAGCCATCGTTGCTTCCCCCCACCTCACTGGCTTCCTCCAGGGCTGTTTACTTCTTTTTGGACATAGTGATCCTTGCCATTTTCTCACTCACTTGTATTCCCTAAGTAAGGATGCAACATACTTGAATCCCAGACCTAAGCACAGATGTGTTTGCAGAGGAGAAAAAAAAAAATGTGATGTTACAGGCACACCATCACTCACTCACACCAACAAACATGGCGGCTGCTCAGTGTTAAGTTGCCACAGATGAATTTCGCCTTTAATGAGAATTATCTGAGTCACAGTGAAACAGGAAGGAGGGTGGAGAAGAACGGGAGGAGGCAACAAAAAGAAAGATTCCTAAATCGAATGTATTTCAAAAACCCAACCACGGCCATGAGTCGACCTTCAACACACGTGGCGACTGAACAGCAAGCAAATCGTGGTTATAACATACATGGAGACCATCTCCTTCAAATAATTTCTGACTACTGATTTACTGGTCAATGATTCTATTCTAGACACCCGTTTTCAACTTGAAATCAAATGCAGCAAACTCTCAGGCGACATGGTAGAATCTCTGGGGAGAGACGATTCCTTCATACCCAGAATCTGATTTCTAGGACTCCAGTTAATTGTCAGCACTGGGTAAACAAGAACATCTTAAAACAAGAGAATATGTTCTTGGGTTTTTTTTTTTTTAAGATTTATTTATTTTTATTACAAAGTTAGATATACAGAGAGGAGGAGAGACAGAGAGGAAGATCTTCTGTCTGATGATTCACTCCCCAAGTGACCACAATGGCCAGTGCTATGCCGATCCAAAGCTGGGAACCAGGAACCTCTTCCGGGTCTCCCACACGGGTGCAGGTTGCCAAGGCTTTGGGCCGTCCTCAACTGCTCTCCCAGGCCACAAGCAGGGAGCTGGATGGGAAGGGGAGCTGCTGGGATTAGAACCGGTGCCCATATGGGATCCTGGGTGCGTTCAAGGCGAGGACTTCAGCCGCTAGGCCACACCCTGGGCCCAATGTTCTTGGGGTCCTTTTAGTGTCATATTCCATCTGAGGTTGAGGGCAGAGGGGTGAAGGTATACGGCCTGTGAGATGCAGAGTTAAAAACTAACAGGTGGGGACTGGTGCAGCGGCCTAGTGACTGAAGTCCTTGCCTTGCACATGCTGGGATCCCATGTGGACACTGGTTTGAGTCCAGGCTGCTCCACTTCGCATCCTTGTGGCCTGGGAAAGCAGTCGAGGATGGCCCAAAGCCTTGGGACTCTGCACCCGAGTGGGAGACCCGGAAGAAACTCCGGAGTCCTGGCTTCGGATCGGCTCAGCTCCAGCCTTTGTGGCCACTTGGGGAGTGAATCAGCAGACAGAGGATCTTTCTATTTCTCCTCCTCTCTGTATGCCTGACTTTCCAAGAAAAATAAGTAAATTTTAAAAATAATTAACAGGTGACCAAAACAATCCCCAGCGCAAAGGGCCCACCACCTGAGAAGTCCAATCTGGCCTTACAAGGGACAAGGCCCTGGCCTTGCCAGTAGCGCTTAAGGCCAAGGGCACAGTAGGGCAGCGCTCTCAGAGACAGCATTTCAAGGTCTACAGAGGAAAACACAGGCTGTTGGTGGGGGCGGAGTGAGACAGTGACAGCGCCACCACATGCGCCTTACTAGCAGGTGAATTTCACAGGACAATGGGTTTGCCTGAGAATTTTTTCACCTTATTTTTCAAAAGCATGCTTGCGTCTGTCGCCATGAACTTGCAAACCATCAAAGCCTGGCTTTCAAACTTCTTCGCAACCCTTCTGGCTCAACAAACGTTCCCATCATCAATGATTATGGAGATCAAGTCCTGAGGATGCCTTACTGTGTCAATAACCGTCTTCTGGAACAATTCCCTAGGATTCATGATGACTTTGCAAATACCGTGTCATTATCTTAAACAGCTTGGAAAGGAAGAGGTGATCAATTACGCGTTTGCTTAAGCAGATAACTGGCGCGGGGCTGTGTTCATCAGAGCTGCTGTGGAGAGGAGGGGGCCACACAGACTCAAGTAACTCCATAAACCTTCGGAAAGAAGACGTGAAAACAGGAACAGCCCGATGGAAGGGCTGTGACAGAGGGCTCGGGGGAGATAATTGGGGGTTATTGCTCAGTGCCCCGAGCTAGTGACTATTTGAAAATGGCCACTGTTCTGAATTGCCAAGCCCTCCTCTCTGCGCGTCTGCTGGAGACGTCACCTAAATGTCAGTTGTGGGGGACACAGGTGGCTGTATTTCCTCCCTGTGTCTAGAAACCGCAGAACCTCAGGATTCACTCGGTGTTAAGGATCATCTGGTCAAACCCTGTAAGTCAATCTCCATCACCCTCCAGGCCAACAGCTGCTACTGAAAGAACTTAATTCCTTCCAGAAGGATGTTTGCTGGTTCGTAGTGGATCGAGATTACGGACATAATTGAGCAACGTCAACGCATTGTAGCAAATATATGGCAATAATAATTTCAAAAATTGATTTCTGTTCAGTTTAATCACAACTGTGTGTCGGATTGAGTGCACTCACTGAGTGCACTCAGTTCCAGCGCTGATCAGTTATAATAATTCCTCTTGGAGGAATAAATGCAATCATTCCTCTTGGAGGAATTAGTCACCTTCTCCAAGGATGAAACAGGCACGTCCGCATCTTTCCGACGGCATCCAACAGCCCCGTTCAGGCCTTCCAGTCCCAGTTCCTCAGCGCTTCTTGTGTCTGTGGTTCCCTCACTTACACATCACTCTGTCCGACTCAGAAAAGCCAGTTTTAAAAGTGCGAACCCTCAAGCATCCAAGTCAAGCGGATGAACGGGTGTTTTAAGCTCCCGATGCCAGCGTGCTTGTTGGGGACACGGGAGGTGCTGCACAGCTGGGTTGCGCCTCTGGTGCTGGAGGAGTGATGGAGAAACCCCTGGATCCTCAGCCGCTGGGATTTCGCATTTCTTTCAATGCATTCTTGAGCTAGATAATTGCTTCAGTCCTAAATTACATAACCTTATCTTCTGGATATGAAATTAGAGCATATTATCTCATTACAACTGAATACACGGTTTAATAAAGGCCGAAAATTTAAGACACATGAGAGCTGTTGCCTAGGCTGTGGTTGTCTGGTGGACACACAAAACTGTTTCTTGGGGTTGGACGTTTGTCACCCTTCCTGAATTGTTCAAACATGCTTGGCTGTTTAGACCTTTTTGCTCTGTCATCAACACGATCACTTGAAAATTCTGCTTGGTTTATCCTGACTGATATTATAACTAGAGTCAATTTTATTAACAGCAGAGAAAGCTCCTTCCACAGGACACCCAAGATCTGCAGCAGACATCCTAGCCACAGATGCATGATGCTCCAGTAACAATGGTTGCTTTAAGCCTAGAGCCACACAAGGGAATAATAACTGAAGTGTTACATCCCACGCCAGGATTTTAAACTTCGCCCCTGCCTTTCAATGGGTCCACACAGACCAGTCGGCTAGACCGAAGTCACTTGTCCTCAGTGGTCCAGGGGAAAGAGCGTTCTGACTAGGCCAGAGATGCTAAGGATGGAGAATTTTCCACCGTGGTCCCTGTATGCCTGTGCCTCCTCAGTTGTCCCTCTCTCATAACGTGCTTCCTTCAGACTTTGTTCCTGGCATGGCTCTCCAATAATCCTGGCACAGACTCAGATTCTCCACAGAATGACTGCTGATCAAGCAGGCAATTCCCCATCTGCCCAGCGAGCAGATCTTCCACCAGCAGCTCCCTTCCACAGCCCACGTGCTTCCCGACCCACTGTGCCCACTGGGCTCTCCTGAACCAAGGTACATGCCCAAGAACTCCACAGGCTGCTCCTCCATGCTGGAGCAAGAACAGCGACGTGGAATATGAGACAATACCTCCCCCACCTCTCATGCAAACATTCTTTTGCATCTGGCCTGCCTTCTACTTCAGAAAGTTTCCTTGAAGTTTTAAACTTCAAGGGAAAAAAAAAAAAAACTTCAGTTCTATGAATCAGACATACCAGATTCTTGATTCTTACAACATCATCTGTGTTCACATCAAATCTATGACACCAACCTCCTCAGGTTCGATCAGTTTAAATTCCATGCCTCGACCGGTCCAGGCAATGAAATGAGAATTCGAAGGGTCGTCCAGAAGAGCTACCAAAAACTGCCAGAGCTGAAGGGAGCCCCGTCGCTGGTAGGTGGGACCCTCGCGGTACATCCCTGGCTCTTGTTTGATGTCCCCTAAGTTAGAAGAGAAATTGGGTTTCTGATGTTAGCAACGTCTCGGCTGAATGCTGAATGCAATTCACATCAAATCAGTTACCACCACAGTTACGACGAGAGCTATAACTGCTCCAGCGAACGAGGAGGAACCACCAGTTCTCAACTCTGGAAATGGACTTTTTGTACAAATTAGACTCTAATTTGTATTTTTAAAAAAAGTCCAATTGGAAAATGTATACCTCAGGGCTTTCTGCAAATCTGTATGTTTAAGCGAGAAAAGTTGGCTTGTTCGGCGTTTAGAGCCTGATCTTGAACAAATGACAAACGGGCTGATTGTTCTTGGGATATAATCTCATTATAGGCAGAAGTTAGAGAGATGCAAAGCTATGAGCTCGGCAACGGTTCTAGCAGAATTCTGGTTTTAGAATTAACCGAGTATTCACTTTTATCTCTGGCCAATCACTTTTAAATACATGGTCACAATGGAGAGCTCATGTCACAGAGAGTCCACACCATTGTTAAGGCCTGAATTTCTCTCCTTCACTAATGAAACATTTCAAATAGAACACACTCAAGCTGATTCACCGAACATGAATTATGACAGAAGTGTTTTCAAACTTCCATCACTAGAGAGAAACACACTTCTTGCAATGCAATAATTACACAAAGAATAATACTCTTTTTAAAAACTACACCAAAATACAAAATGATTCAGTCAATAGCTGTTGCAAATCCAGCCGTTATCTTGGTCCCAACTGGATGAGTCAGAACTGTCTTTCTATTGATCTCAGACACAGTTGTATTCACCTCAGGGTTTCTCCTGAGATTTACAAATTTTTACCTGGGGCTATCTGAGTAATTATGTAGATAAGAATGGAACACCATTCTATTTTCTACCTTTGTTATCTGCCTATAAATGCCACCTGCAATGAAAAAAATTACCCCGTGTTTATATGTTTCCTTGGCTCTTACTCAGAAAAGTCCTCTCTCTACATAACTGAGGAGTATTTAGCAGTCAAAGGCAATGAATAATCCGGAACCAGTCCTTTCAATGCTGTTGGACCTGTTAGCTGACACACCACAGTCCCATCCACCGGCTTGGTTTGCCTTCTTCCTTACGTGCCCTGGCTAAATACTCAAGATTTCTCCGATGTGAATTTCACCGCAAAATTAAAGAAGCTACTAAAAGGTCTTACACTTCTGTCTCAAAGAAAAGCCTGTATTTAAAAAACCGGTGCTCTGATTGACGGCAGTGCAGAAAACTGTGGTTGAACAAGGCCAAAAAAGTGAGCCAGCTGGGGTGTTAGCCTGTGGCCCTCCGGGAGTTTTGTGACTCAAGGGGAGGTTAATGGGTCTTCTCTTCCCAAGACTCAACACCCTTCCCAGAGGTAAGACAGCAGAAGAAGGCAACAAGCAATTCATTAGAGACCAAGCATTACTTCACTGCTCAAGTGATGACCATAAAAAACTCAGAAATTCCGTCATTCAAGCAGCTAATCAGAGGGCCCCTGCTCTTCTCCTGCGAACAGTCGAACTAGAAAACAGGGAGACCACGGGGAGCAAACCTCTAAATCAATTAACTGCTCACTTGTTACTCAAGCTCCCTCACAGACTTCTCTCTCCAGGCTTGGCCAGAAAAGACAATTGTATTTAACTAGACACCCTTTTTTAACCTCTGGGACCCTTGTCCTTGCAGCAGCCGGGCCAGTGACATTAACAAGATAATGCTTTCCTAACTTCCTTTTAGGCAATTACAAAGTAATGCTACATTAGCAATGTACATCTTCCCAGGGAAAAAAAAACACAGAGAAGGAGGAACCATCACTAAGTAAATGGGCAGTTATGTCGTTCCTGTGTGTGCCATAATGCAGCTTTTCATGAACACTGAGAGAGCAGGCTACATTAAGTCCTCAGCCCATCCCTGTCGCTTTCTGCTCTGCTTTGTTCATTACAGGATCAGTTTTCAATAAATCTCCAATAACAAGTTGCATGTGCTCAGGCAGGCAAAGCAAGGAGCCCTCTCACTGTAGGGTAGTGCGACCACAGCAACCTTTTCTGGCTCTCTCCAAACACACACACTCCATCACAGGAGAAAGGACAGAGGTTTCTGAGTGGAGGGAGGGAAGTGAGGACTTGTACGAGGAGTGAGTGTGTGACGGACAACACGTATGGAAACCTTTCCGCAGGGAGTGTCGGCTGTCTTCAGAAACAGCCAGGGAGATTTGTCCACGCCCCCTTTCCAAAATCAAAACCCGAATCACCGCGACAAACCTACCGTCGAATTTCTCTGGAACCACGCAGGTGTCATCGTAAAACTGCCGGGGGCCCTTTTCAAACATGCAGCCTGTGGGGAAATAGGCTGGGTTTATTCCGGATGGCTGTGAACACGCGCCACCTTCGCAAACGGAACCACCAACATGAGCGGATCTCATCGCTACTACCTTTAATTAACAAAGATTTCCTAAAGTTCAGTAGTACTTATGTTACTCAAAAATCTTGGCATCCACACATGTGCATAATGCAACACCAATGCCCAAAATAATACACTGCATTTGTATAAAGCTCCTTTTCAGAGGATCATTGCTTTCTGAAACATTTTAATTTATATAACGGAAACAGATTTCATGCATTTCATATATACTGCTTTAAGACCATAAAGATATTTCTTATCACACTCTCACTCTTACCTTCCCACCCCCGCTTTTATTGTTTTAATTTTTACAACATATTTTCGATTTACTTGATAATGACAAGCTTAACTTTCCACAAAATAAAGAATTCACCCCAAGTAGTAAGTAGAAAAACACTGTCCTTCAAGAAAACCCACGAGGACTATAAAAAGTGATCAAATCTCAAGATGTAAATTTCACGTAAACTGCACATTTTTTGCACTCTGTATATTAGTTACACAAATCGGGAAAAAACATTGTATTGATCTGTTGGGGACTGGCTTATGTTACTAAGCATGATGGTCTCTACTTGCATTCATGCTGTTGTGACAATTTCCTTCTTTTTGTTGACCAAAAACTATTTCGTCATGCATATATCCCGCCATTATCATCAGCTGATGAACGTCTGGATTCACCCCATATCCGAGCTACCTTATCCATGGAGGTACTGAGAACTGTTATACACTGATTTCATTTGTTTCAGGTGAATTTCAAAGAAGGGACGTTTTACATATATAAAATTTCTCAAGTGTTTTGGATTTAACATCTAACACTCTGCCTTATAACCCCTACTGACACCATTTATTGCAAACAACCTTGGATCCACCCTCAAAGGTCAAGATCCACGCGTGCATCTCCACAAAGCCTTGAACAGGGATCCAGTTGAACTATCATTTATCTACTCTGTACAGATATTACAGGCTCACCAGGTTCCCAAAAACAGATCCATTACAACACCTCCGGGCAAGAACTAAAGGACGTTCACTAAAGACGAAAGAGTTTTTAACTCTTACTGGTTTTTGTATCAAACCAATGATTTAGGTCTGTAAAAGCAAAACCAAATATCCCTTGAAAATACATTTCAGTAACATCTGGGAACAGGTCCATGAGGGGACTCATCTATGAAACACACATTCCAGGGTAAAGGGATGTGATTGTGAGAAAAGTTAAAAAGATTGCAAAAGTCCACTTTCCGGTCATTTCTGTGTGGTGGGCTCATGTTCACATTCAAAGTTAGAAACCAGGACCTGAAACCTTCCTACTTCACTTTAAAAGACAAAGGATTAAAGCAATGGTTTCGGCAACACAAAATGCCTTTTGTGAGCTGCTACTGCTGCGCGGGGCGGGACGGCAACCCTGACATGTCTGACTGTTTCGAAAAGGATTTCTGGGAACTTCGGGAATAGCAAACTTAACTTCTGTTCTGCTGGGATGTGCCAGGAAGCCTTCTTGCCTCATGTAGACGGAGTGGCAGCTAGGCACTTCTGGAAGAGAAAGGAACAAGAATCAGGAAAGCCCGGGACTGGCAGGAGGCTGTTACCTAGGCACCACCTGCAGGGAGAAGTCACAAAGTCCCCTCTCCACATCCAGGCACAGTCCTCGTGAGAAACGCCGTAATGGGCAGAGTGCTTCACGGGGACACACTGATGCTGATGAGCAGGCAATCCAAGTGGTACTCAAACTCACCTGGCAAGCTTTGACTCCAAGAGCAACCCACACGAAGGTGACTGTGTCCAGCTTGGTAATTTACAAAAGTATTCCCAGGACATCCACACAATAAACGCGTGTGTCCCCTTGCATTTTACTTACAAAAGCCAAAGTCAACAAGATTCACCCAGAGGTTAGTTCGTGAACACTAGAAAGAGATTATGATGCAACCATAAAAGAGCTCATGTTTCGATGCCTTAGCCTCACAAGGTGACAACAGCTGTTCTCCTTCCTGGAGAAGCGCGTGACTGCCTTCTCATTTTGGTAAGCACACAGGTCACATTCATAACAAGTGAGCATCAGTGACCAAGGCAACGCATCCCTGAGAAGATCAACTTGGTTAATGGTTAAACTTGAGTCAACGCCTGCCTGTTTCTGATGTGTGCTGTAGTTTAGATAAGGGAGAAAAGAAAGAAAAGCAATGTGGAGTAAGAAACCAAGGATTTAGTCCCTGGACCAGTGTCGGGACACAGTGAGACCTTGCCACCTGCTATGCCAGCATCCCATCGGGGTGCTGGCTGAAGTCCCAGCTGCTCCACTTTCCATCCAGCTCCCTGCTAACGCCCCTGGGAAAGCAGTTCCCACCAGCACAGTTGCCAAGTGCTTAAAGCTCTTGCCATTCAGGTGGTAGTGCTGAAGCCTCAGGCCTTGCCACTCGTTTGGGTATTCAATCAGAGGATGGAATAACTCAATCACTCTCTCTCTCTCTGTCTCTCTCTCCCTCTCTCTCTCCCCCATAACTCTGCCTTTCAAGTGCATACAAGAAACCTTTTTGTTTTGTTTTGTTTTTTTAAAGATATTACTCTTATTTGAAAGACATCTTTACAGGCAGAAGGAGACAGAAAGATATTCCACCTGCTGGTTTACTCCCTGGATGCCACAATCGCCAAAGCTGAGCCAATTTGAAACCAGGAGCCAGAAGCTTCTAGGTCTCCCAAGTGCGTACAGAGGCCCAAAACCTTAGGCCATCCTCCACTGCATTCTCAATCCGTAAGCATAGGAACAGTTGGGACTAGAACTGGGGTCTATATGAGATGGTTAGCTCTGCAAGTGGAGGATTAACCTATTTAGCCACTGCACTGACCCCAATAAAATAAACTTAACAAAAAGTCCAAATCCTTCACTTACAACTAGGTAAGCTATATAACTTTTGACAAACCGCTTTGTGGTGTCCAATGAACCCTGGACTTCATTCTATTCCCCAAGCTCCCTTCAGAAATGACAGACAGATCCCAGTGTATCCTGACCTTTAAGATGCTCCAGTTTTACATGAATACTTTCCGAACCCTGCACCTGACTTTGTGTTTGCGCTTTTACTTTCCTTTAGGAAGGTCGCTTCAAAGTTACAAAGCTTTCAGTGCCACAAACGTGTTACCAAACTTGCGTTTATAACATGCAAGGTGGCTGCAAAAGGCAGCCTGTGGCACAGCGAACACACAGGGCTCGGCCTGCATCAACCAGCCAGCAAGTAATTCATATTGCCTAGGGAGAACTTCACCCGTCCCATCACACTGTAAGATCAGCAGAAACAGAAACTCTTATTTTGCTCCACTTCCGCCAACTTCCTGATGCCACCTGGTGTACAGGCACTGTGGGAATGTATGAACACACGAAAACAGGTCAATTATTGATCATCCGTGTGCATCACGGAATTCTGACCAACAGGAAAAACAAAATGAGTTTACAAAACGCATCTAGCAGATGTGTTGCTTAATGCAGGAGCTTGCCCTCCCTTCCAGCACGTGGGTGAGCTTGTCAGCCTTGATGTGGGTGGAATGCTCAAAAGAACTGAAAATTAAAGGCCACCTTTTATGCAACTAAGGAGGCTGTTATATGCTAGACTATTTATTTGGCCCAGGTGTGGTTTGTCCTTGACGAAAACGCCTCATTTTAAAACCGTATTTTGCTTGTTGCTCAATGTCAACCAAAATCAGAGGGAGAAAAAAAAAGTTGATCTCATGTGGCTTTAGTCAAAAATATCCTTGAAGGCGATGTGTAACGGTAAAGACATTAACAGGTGTTCAGGAATTAATGCTAATGGCCCAAAAAGAGTGGACAGAACCCAACGGCGGCTATTTAAACAGACCATACTTTATACACAGTATTTGGGGGCACACGGTTCTGACTGCTAAAGGCAGTTTTTGCTTGAGATCAGCGTTGATGAATGAGTGCCGAGTCAACGTTCTCTCCAACAGTGAACTCTCCAGCGTGTCCAAACTCTCTCACCCACACTGCTTCCCAGCGACTTCTAACATTGCTCGGATTTCTTGCCGGGCTTGAGGGCTCTCAGAGTGGCCAGGCCCAGGAAGGGGTAGAGTCCGTGGTTCCGCTGTCAGCTGAGCAGCTGTTCCAAGGAAAGCATGTCGTCGACTGATGTTGACAGCTGGCCAGGAAATCTTGATACCGACGGCTACACACCTGGAGGGTGGCTGGGAGAACAGCTGGCTGCCTCTGGACACAGTCAGAGCACAACAGGCGGGTCCAGCTCTGTTCTGTGGAAGGATGGCTAAATAAAGGACAAGGGAGAGGAAACGCCAGCACGTTCAAGAAATTCATCATCTCAGAAAATGTTCCAACACATGACAAAATTAGTGTCATCCCGGAACATCATGCATGTGACATCAAAGTCTGTGACGTAGTCAGTAACTTTACAAAGCCTCCATCCGATGCAATGGCCCCTGAACTGCTGACTGCTGCACCTGCTTCACAACCTTCTTCAACAGTTCTCTCCATGTGAGACACTTACACACACCGAGTTAACTTCCATGGTAATTTGATGACTTGTATCCCAAGGCAATACCAGCGAACTCACCATTTCAAGAGCCTCAGCTTACAACCTGAATTCTTTAAAAAGAAAATCATTGCAAAAATAAAAATACGTATGTGGACAGACAATTGTGTTTTTGCCAATTTCTAACACAATTTACTACACTCTGGAGTAAGGAAAGTTAACATTCAGTTCTGGAAATTGAGGCACTTGGGTAGTGCTGTTTAAGTCTAGGCTATCCTTCATACTGGAATCCTTCCTACAGTCCAGACAAGTCTGAAAAAAATATGGCCATGAGGTTTACTCCCATAAAATAACTAAAGTCATGTTATCCTAAAGTGATATCAGTTAATTTATGACTATCAGAGTGGGTCAGACTCTAATCAGATTGTAGAAACATTTCCAAAGTGATTATTCAATCAAATGACTAACATGGTTAATTAGGAGCCATAAACAGCGCTCTGAAGTTCATCACGGTAATGACTTGCCCAGAAAAATTACTGCTAATTAAATTGCCTGCTGCTTTCATTTCTACCTTATCTAATAAAAAATCCAACCAACGAAGTTTGGCAGTACATTTTAACTTTTGCTAAATGTTCAACGATGTTCCAAACTAGCTAAGCGGAGACTTCAAAGGCAAATAAATGTTCTACGGCAAGGAATTGGAAGCATCCCATATGTAGGCACTCCTGTTTTTCATGGGATGAAACTGACAAGTTCAGCAGCAGTCAGCTATAGCTCAACCTATGAAAAGTGTGAGGACACCGCTCGGTGGAAGGTTACCCTGCTGTAGGGTCATACAGTTGAGCACGCTGGTGGCCAGCTCATTCTCTGTCATGGAGTGGACCTCTCTGAATCTCGGAGCTCACATTTGGTGGAGTTGTAATAGTCTTTCACTCTCATTCCACACCTTTAACTCTCAACTTCCTCCTCTGTGAAATGGGAATGATAATAGCAATCCTAATGTTAGGATTATTAAGGAATGCTTTATGTAAATACTTCCAACAGGAACTGCACGCAGTAGAAATTCAGAATATTACTTATCATTTATTTTTTTTTCTTTTTTAACATTTATTTATTTATTTCCCACATTTTATTATTGTTGCTATCATTTTACGATACAGTTCCATATTCCCTTATTCCCTCCCCAATTTCCTCCCCCACCCCAGTTCCTTTATATCATTACTAAAATATAGTTCTTCATACTCAGTCATATGTTCATCATTGCGGGCATGGGCAATGGCAAAGAGTCCAGAATCCTATTGTCAAAATATAATATAAACAGTTTCACTGTAAGTCCATCTTTGGAAACAGAGATGCTGACCACACTGCATCCTCACATCTGGTTGTTAGTCTCCATTATATAACTACTGTACATTCCCTTAAATGAAAAGTCATGATACAAAATCAACAATAGAAAGAAAAATAGAAATTTACAATGCCATGAAGTTAAATGACATGTTACCAGATATTACAGTCTCCATTACACAACTACTATACCTTCCCTTAAATGAAGGGCCACAAAACAAAATCAACTTCCGGGAGAAAAAAGAAATTAACAACACCAAGAATTTAAACAACATGCTATTAAATGTATAATGTGTAGCTGAAGAAGTGAAAATCAAGAACCTTCTTGAAGAAAATGATACCACTGTATGATCTACGAGTTTACAGAGAGGAGAGACGGAGAAACGTTTTTTATCTGCTGGTTCAGTTGCTAAATGGCCACAAATGTGGGAGCTGAGCTATTGCAAAGCCAGGAGCCAGGAGCTTCATTTGGGTCTTCCATGTGGGTGCAGGGTCCCAAGGCTTTGGGCCATCCTCGGATGCTTTCCCAGGCCACAATCAGGGAGCTGGATAAGAAGTGGAATAGCCGGGACAAGAACCAGGGCTTCTATGGGATGCTGGTGCTTACAGGTAGAGAATTAATCAGTTGAGCCATTTCACAGGCCCCCAGAACACTACTTTCTATTAATAATTATCTGCTTCAGGCACATCTTACACATGTTC